TTACATGTAAAGTAAATATTTACTTTACATTTTAGAGTAAAATAAAATTAAGTAAGTAAATATTTATATGTTTCTGTTTATGTTTATATCAATTTAGTTAAATTCCATTGATATTTTGAAGGGCATTTGTCTCATCTTTTAATGTTATTATTCGGTTAATATTATCAAAACAGTCACGGACAAACCTGATCACAAAAAAAGCGGCACCTACTGTATGAAAAATGAGTTTTCTTTGGTACAACAGTTTCCAAAAGATCAGTTTTATCAATACCCTGCAAGGCATTTTATCCTTTAAGATTTCTAGATTTCTCCGTACTGTAAAGTTGATTTCAAAAATTAAAGTTGTAAGAATGATGGAGTAAGAAATTATCTTAAAATGTTACCAAAAGGTTTTGAAAAAAAATTCTAAAATAGAAGAAAAATTAGAAAACTAAAAAATTGAAAATTCAGAGCAAATTGTTTGACAGGAGATGTTAAGGAATTAGTCTTTTGAATGTTATGTAGGTAATTGTCTTCGATATTTATATCTGAATTTTTTTTAGATTTATTTCGAGTTTTTAGTCTCTAGAAATTTCATTTTCTTATGTCTGCTCCAATTTCTCGAATTTCTTATAGAAAAATAGATGATGTGAGAGGCATTAAGTCATCGCTGTAATTAGATAATAAATAAATGCAGACTGTACTATTGTAAATGCAGTAGGTCTGTTGTTGAGTACCATTTAACAGCAAAATAAAACTGTGTTCATTTCTTCATAGTTTATAGATGCTCTTCCTGATGTCTTTGAAAGAATTGTTTCAGGATGCATTTTAATCTTTCTCACGAACCACTCCACCAGAGATATGAATATCCAAGCTATCTTTTGCATGGTTATTACTTGAGGTATAGAATCTCAAATAATTGTATCGAACATTGTGTCTACTCCAGTAAAGCTGATACCGTTGTCCAAGTAGTAGACATAAAGTTGATCCAGACAAGCTATAAACTTTCGAAAAGCTCGAAGAAAATTCTTAGTTGTCAGGAATAGATGAGTTCTAAATGGGCAGTTCTGAATAAAGAGCATGTGAAGATTACGATCCGTGTCTTTCGATTTCTTTTAAGACTAAAGGATCTTCTAGATCTATCCCAACTGTTACAGCTACTATTTAGAACTATTGTTTCAAATGAGTTCTGGAATGCTTTCGAGAACAACCTCCTTAAGTTCAACAACACAAACTCAGGGCCTCTTATGCACAGTATATTGAAAGCAACCCATAAATTTAATATTCAACAGATGTGGAATAATTTTCCTATCTGCTATCACTTATATATATATATATTTTATTTTTGCATTCATTTGATTTCCAAATTAGTATGCCAAGAAAAGCTAAGTTTAGAAATGTGGATCAATGTTGCCCAGCTGATATAGTCCAAGTGATAGTGATGCTAACTGCCATACTAATCGGCTCGGGCTCAAATCCAGGAGAAAGCATCGATAGAAAGTATTTCGTATTCGCAGTATTTCGTAAGCGTATAGTGTCTGTTAGGCAAGGGGGGCACTCAAAATACACTGCGAAGTTTTCTTGAGAGATTCGTGGCAGGAAATGAGGTATGGGAGACACTTGGGCCCGCCCCCAGGGTTTTTGCTTTCGAAATTATAGCGGAAGTATACAGTTACTGAGGTGGGATTATAGCTGTACGATCAATGATGAAATTTTGATGTCCAACCCACTTTTTCTTGTACCTGTTCTAGATCATTGTTCTTCACCAAATTTCGGCTATCTGTGCATATAGTGTGAGAACAAATTGTTCGAAATTAAACACGTGTCTTTCATGTGATAATTTCAGATACTGGAAAAACTAGTATTGTTATTTAGTTGATTTAGATGTTTATTCTATTAACATAATAAAGCACAAAGAAACGATAAAAAGTAAAAATAATTAAGAAAGTAAATTTATCAAATTTATAAAGTAATCCAGATTCTGTATTCGATACTCTCTATTACAGTGTAAGGATTATGTTAATTTTATGAGTTAAACTTCTTTCCTGTCAAATTCTTAACTTCAACTTAGTACTTTCGGCCAGAACGTAGTTTTGGAATCACTCTGAATACTTAATGAGGAAGAGGAGCGGTATTTAAACCGCGAAGTTCTACTTGCTGAACTAGAGAGAAACAGAGTTTCTGGTTTGCGCGCGTCTGCCTTTTGGCTACTCTCTCTCAAAGCCGTTATTACGCTCTGCCGTACTCAGGCCCTTGATAAGCTTCGTAGTCAAATAGAGTTAAGTTAGTTAAGGGTTCGTAGTCAAATAGAGTTAAGGGGCTAACTCGATTAGAATCTTGATAGCTTCGGCTATATCTCTTTCGTTAATCTTAGTTTTAGTTTATTTCTTAGTCCCTTAAGTTCAAGCCCAAGTGTCGGCTTTTTCTGTACACTCCAAGACGAAGTTTTGTTAAATCTTATTGGAATAATAAAGGGTTAGTTATCCTTCCATCTTGTTGTTTCTTGTTACACGAACTTAAGCGATTATTCTCTAACTAGTTCTTAAGATTCGTGACTTTCTACAGTAACTGAGAAATACACTATTATTGAGAATCTTACAACAGTATTTGAGCTGAGTGTTATAGCACAGCAAATCTGTATTTAGTTTTATAAATTATATTTGAATTGTATAAAAATATTTTTGAATTTATCATTTAAAAATAAACTCAATTTTATAGCAAGCCATTCTTCCGTAAATCTTTCAATATTGCATTTATTTCCAACGAGTAAATTTATTTCATTTCTCCACCATGTACAGTATTTTTATTTCCAAAGGATAGCCTTTCATTATTTTCGAGGTTTTCTGAATCATATAAAAACATCACCACTTTATTCATATAGCAGTTTTATGTGATTAAAAATGTCACTATTTCCCTCTTTTTTCTACTCCTCTTAAGAATCTGCGCTAATTTTAAGTGGGGAATTTCTCTTTAGTTCATTTTAAAATTTATCACATTTTCAGACTTTTGCTCTGTTTCTGAGAGAGCTTTATTTTAGTTCCTAGTTACTTTTTTCATTAGTGTATATGATATTTTAAAACCTCCTATTTACTATATATTTTTGATCAAATGAAGTGTTCTTAAGACCTTTTTAATATTAATAGATTTTTATTTCGTATTATTATTTTTTCGAAATTTGATTGTAATACATAGCATTCTCTTCTTTTTTTCCTTCAGAATAAATTTTTCATTTAAAGATTATTTGGTTTAAAAATCTTTCTTTTTATTACATAAGTTTAATTTTTAATTCGTAGTATATATCTATGTAATTTAAAAATTGTTTGGCGTTAAGAATTATTTAAGATGAAATTTCAAGTGCTATTATTTTGTCATCTTAGTTGACGCATGTCATAGTATCCTTTTATTTCAGGTCTTTTCATTAATCATATTTTTTCTTTCAACATTTTTATTTTCGATTTACCATATATAGCAAGAGAATCTTAAGAAGAAAAGCAACAAAAATTTCTATTAAGAAACATTAACCACGAAATTTGGCACTTCCTTTTAGTGAGTGTACATATCTAAAGAGTGATGAGAGTAAAGAGGGACGAAAATTACGACAAAAGCTGTGACTAGATTTTGGAATAACATTGCAACATTAACTTCAATTTATACTGGTATTAACATAAAAGATAAGAAGCACATTCAAGGTTAATTTTTAATCTCAAAGATGCACAACAAACAAGTTTCAGTGTGTTTCAGAAAAGTATGCTGAAAAACATCGCAAACTTTATTATTACGAAAAGTGATTGTTTGCTTTTTAAGAACAAATTTTTATCATTTTGTTCTTCTTCCAACTTTTCTAATAGTTTTTGGGAGTAGTGTTTTTCCATTTCCCGTACGAGGAGCGATTATTTTGTTCATAAATAAAAAGTAATTTTGAACAAAAATAGATCAATAAATAAAATATTAATGATAAAATTAAACTAAAATAATAAAAAATAAAATAAAAATAAAAAAATAAAATAAAAAACAATAAAAAAATAAAAATAAAAAATGAAATAAAAAACAAAAAGTATAATAAATAAAAATAAAACGTAAATGAGCCAATTATTGCCCGCATAAAATGAGAAGTCCAATAAATCGAATATATAACGGAGAAAAAAAAAAGAGAGAGAGAGAGAGAAAATGAAAGAAACAGACTCTGTATGAGACACAATAATTTTTCTATGAAGCCAATTTATAGAAGAGTTAGAACCAGTCAGGAAAAACGATTAATTCACTTATAGCCAGCAAAAACGACGTATCCTTATAATTCCAGTATCAGTTCTTTTACCCATATCTTTTGGTTTCCTGTGATATGCATATTACAGTTCTGATAAAAATCTTTTAGCAAATTTCCCACGTTTAAAGAGCTATCTTTAAGTAACTGATAAGTTTATTTATTATTAAAGCAGCATCTTCGAAGGTTGTCTGTATTAAAAGTATAAGGGCAAAAGGTAGAAAAAATCTAAATCGCACTCAATAAACCTTCTCAGTTTCGAAACCAATCTCAAATTCACACAAAATTTATCGTACTTTTTTCCTAAGAAGACTTTTAAACACTGATAGCGTGAAATGATAAAACGATAGTAGTTAAATGAAAAGCTGTTTATGCTAGCCGGTTGTCATCATTCAGAAATCATTCAGAAATAAGTTTCATTTTCTCAAAGGAAATCTGGCACTCGAAATTTGCCTACGTCATATATAGCCATGCCCCTGACGCGTTATTTCCCTTCTCGTGATACTGAATCAGCGGTAGTATTTTCCCTTTCGAGTCCGTTAAGTTTTTAAGGTCAGACATGGTTTCTTAACTGCCGCAAAAAATCTTTTCGCTCCTGTGTGTGTAAGTAGTGAACTGTCGCTAATAGTTCATGTGCTTTTCTAAAGCAGCTTTGTGAATCCTCCCGATCTTAGTTTCATGGATTATAGCTGCATTTTCTCTTCTTCAAATTGCTTTGAATTTAGGTAGACAGAATAGTGGTTTCCAACCGTTTATCGAGATGTTATTTATTGCATTTGCCTATTTTACTTTTGTCGCAATTCTTGCTGAAAGAGTTCCTATCGATGAAAAGCTTGGCACTTTCTTGGGCACACTCGAACGATATGCACCGAATCCTAATGATGTAGTTTTCCTTCTGGACGAGTCAGGCAGCATTGGAGCAGAAAGATTCGAACACGTGAAACTATTCACCGAATTAATTGTACGCCGGTTACCTGTGTCTTCCGAATACACCAGAGTTGCTATCGTCACTTTTGCAACAGAACCTCGGACACATGTGAACTATATTAGAGACAGTTTGGGCAATAATATGTGCACACTCCTAAGGAGTATAAAGCATATAGACTACGCTGCCGAATGGACACATACAAAAGAAGCGATGATTGAAGCTAGGAATATCTTAAGGTCTGCAAGGCTAAATTCTACGAAGTAAGATAGATTTATTGATTCTATTTACTCTGTGTTTAATCAACTCTTTTTTGATTAATAATATAAATAACCATTTATTTAAAATTTGTGTTAAATTAACATAATTTGTTTTATTTATTAATCATTTAAAAATGACAAAAGCTTAAAACAAATACCTATTGATTTTCCTTGAATATTTTCATCTGAAACTACAGAAGGTTAATTGAAAGCTCAGTTTTTAATGAAACATAGTGAAAGAGTAACCCGTCATATACAGTACAAAAGATTTGCAAAGCGGGCCACTAGAAATAAAGCATTTCTCAATTTTCTACACTTTCCTATACGTCTTCATTATGCAGAAAAAAGGAGTGTTTAATATCATTTAAACAGGAACTATATGGTTGGGTGTTGTTGTTTGGTTTAACTGTGACAAAGCACGCGAGGACTGCCCGCCAACGGACAAATGCCATCGTGGAGAACATTAAAAGAGAAAGTGGCTGGTATATGTGTGAAAACTATGAAACCGCCCCTTCAGACAGCTCGTTCCCTTGGTCAAGCTATCAGTGTTTAACGATTTTATCCATTTGTTCACTGGGTGGGCCTAGAAACTGCAAAAAACATTTTTATCATTACACAAATGTAACTGCAGCTGAAGGCATTGATGTTCAAAGTGAAGCAAAGAATGCCAAAAAAAAAACCTATTCTTTATGGTGTTTGTTGCAATAAAACAACATATTCATTCGGTTATATTTATGCTCAGTATTGTTTCTCTTTAAAGTTTTTGTCATGATTTTTCATGGCTTAAGATATTTCCATCTTTTCTTCTTTACTTAACCCACTCCTTTCAGTTTTCACTTTTACTGAAAAAGTAATAAAGTTATATAAGATTTCACCTCGCATTGCTTAAGACGTTACATTTTAATTCCTTATTTTTTAAGGCCCACCAGTGGCCAAGCGGTAAAGTTGGATGATGTGCCTGAAGATATAACGGAAGAGAATATGATGAACTTTTCATTTTATTGCATAATGAACATTTTTAAGTTCATAAGCAATGTAATTTTGTAAGGTATAGCATGCCTGCGTAGTGTTGTTGATTGAGTTGTTTGATCAGCACACTCGGCGCGCATTCAAGAGATCCGAGGTTCCAGTCCCGGTGAGGGCATTGCTCATTTGCACGTCTCCAGCATCAAAATAACCTAATGTCTCTACAGTGATGCCCGAGCTTAAAAAGATGGTGGAGAAATTATTCTGCACCTCCAGGATTTGGCGATTATGTCCCCTAATCTTCAGAAGAAGTTAGTAGTTTCAATCCATTAATAGGCTAAAAATTATATAAAATATATGATGAGAATTTTGTGCTTCGCTTTAAATATTGAATGATTAATAGTTAATCAATTTTCGATTTAGTTTTGTTAGGATTAAGTAAAACGAAGCGAGTGCAGAAGTGCTGAAGAATCGCCATTTTTAGTTCAAAGGGGCTTTGTCCCTGAAGGACTATTGTTTTCGTTTTGCGATTTTGCGTCGATTCACTACAAACGGCGAATCACTTTTCAAAATTTTGCCACGAAGTATTATCTCCCTGTGTTATATTCAAAGAAATTAAATAATGAAAAATCTACATAAATGTATGTATATTTCTCGCATTGGGATAAAACAATGGTACATAGAGCCATCGAATTTTGAATGACGTAATACTTCTACGAATATGGCATGTGGAAGACCAAATTTGAAATCTGGAATTTGTTTTATTATCAATTTAATATTTTGTAATACTTTAACGAATTTTTGATTAACAAAATCAAGGATTTCAAAGCAAGCAATGGCAACGTTGTACAGAAAGAACATTTTTATCTCCAGCGCGTGAGTCTCTGTATCGGAAATTCTAAAGGATATGCTCACTTTAAAACTATTTTGCGATATTGCTGTTGAACTGAATTTTATGGTTTAAGTGCGAAGAACGTGATATTTAATAAATAAAAGTAACACACAAAATGTTAAAAAAACGCCCCTTTGGACGTAGTTTAAAATCTGAAACATTTCAGATTTTTTTTTTTTTTTTTTTTAATGTGCTGCTTCAGGACTGTGTTTACGGTTCAAAATTGAAAGTTAACAATCAAAATTTATCTTTTAAACGTATTTCTAAATTTTCGCAGCTAATTTGTAGTCCCTCTTAGCCGGTCATCTGAGGCAAGTGCTTCGCTTGTCTCCCTCTTGTCCAGGCTCTGGGAGACATCCTAGTAATATTTAGTGACCTGTTTTAATATTCATTCAGTGTGCTGCATCAACAAGATAATTTGAGCGTATTTTCTACTTTTTCAAAATATTTATAAATGGTAAAAAATATTTTTAGGATCATTCATTAATATGATACCTTAGTAAGGTCTTTGAATGATCCTATGGCCATCTTAACACTATCTGAGAATGAAATGGTAATTTGAAATGCACACTTCTCTGTGTCGTTCGTCAGTGTGGAAGCTTGCAAATGGTCTGCATTACTCGCCGTTATTTACTTGTACATTATCTTATCTTCGAAAACTTGAATTCTATTGTTGATGGGGGTTGAAACTTGGTAGCACTTCCACGGTATCTAAAGAAATCAATCCATATTTTTGAAATATTAATTGATAAGACGGAATTGAACGCTATAACTCTGTGGCATCTAACTTCAGTTCAGTTTTTGATCAAGAATCTATTGTGAGAATTTACAATCGCAATACTTTAGCATTTTGAACTTTAATGTTTTTCTGAAAAATGAAACCAGGAATGTGTTCATATTGCATTTTCCGGGTTTTATATCATTCTTAGTCATTAAACATATTATTTTCTTTATTGGTATTACTTGTTATGTAGTTCGGTTGTTCGAGATTTTGTAGCGTTATCTTAAACTTGGAAGATAATTTATTTTTTCGGAATTGTTTTTTTCATATTTCCTTTTCTTTTTAATTTTGGATTAAATGTTTTCTACTATAGCTATAGGTTTATCACAACCTGCTGCATCTGCATTTTTGTATTTAGTAAAATTTTTTTGCCTGACATAACGTCGAAGGTGACTGTGATTGCTCTCTGTATTAATGATCTAAAGGCAGATTTACTCTCACCATTGGCCGAATGGTTACGACCGCTGAATACTGGTGATCCCAGGTACAAACCTAGGAGAACAGTCTGGCTATATGGTTGGATTTCATGGTTTTCCCCTTGTATAACCTGAATATGAGTCAATCCTTCACGAAGGCATCTCTTCCTTACGTAGATAGCTCTCGAGTGGTTTGCGATCTTTAGATAACCTAACCTGAAGAAGATACTTCGCTTCATTTTGGTACGTTCGGAACTATTAACCAAAAACCGCTGCAGCTTCAGAAAACTGTAACTGGTGTGTAGTTCTCTTAAAATTACTATTCTGCCTTTCAGAACATTAAGAATGTCCCGATTAACAGTGGGAGCGCTGGGCTCCAGTTTTCTTTCGAATATTTTTTAATTAATTTTGAGTTTTTATAATTATTAAATAAATTATTTTATTTAAATATTTGTATCATAAAAATAAGTAAGCCCTTACACCTGCATCAAAAATAGGTTTCTAAACTTATCACAGTGTTTTGAAAATTATATAAATTTTATACAATATTCGGGTTATATCTTTCATAAGTTCATATGATTCGAAATTTTTATATTTGATGTGAATCGGATGTCATCCCATAACATGCTGTCCATTGCCCTTCAAAAAGCAAGTGAAATTCTTTTGGTGGAGGGCACAAGCATGTGACAGACTTACACAATCAAGGATTTGACATGGTTCGCAACGATGAATTTGTGAATTTAGAATTTCTTTCATCTGTAATCAATATACATATTAAATTTTACATTAATTTAAATATTTTTCGGACTCTTGTTTTTCTGTGCTTGGATTATCCTTTTATCGATTATCGTATCTCTAAAATGTGCTTGGACTACTGTTTGAAAACAGTGAAATACATAGAATAGTTTGGAAGTAATTAACGATTTTGTTGCGGTAAAGCTCATTTGGATATAAATTAAAACTTTGCAACCTTGACATGGTATGTTTTACGTCCACTTCCGACCTGATAAAGAACAACTTTGCTAATTATGTTTTACTCCCTTCAGATTTTGATAATATTCGATCATTGTAGTGGGCTCAAGGCTAAGGGATATTTAGTTCTTTCTTGTCCTAGTCAGAATAGAAGAGAGAATTTGACAGGGATAGGGTAGGAAGTGACAAAGATGAGACAGCAGAACGCAAAGAGCGTCGTCCTGTTCTTATAAATTGCTAAAGTTGTTTAATATTTACGGCAAAACGCTTATTATTATTATTATTATTATTATTATTTTGCAAGATGTTTAAACAATATTGTATTGTGTCTCTAATGGCCACCCATTGACGCCGCAATTTAAAGCGGAGATGAGAAAACATTCTTTTCTGCTTAAATAGGAAAGTAGCATCGATGAAGAGATAACACTGTACAGCCTGTTTGAAATTATTTGAAGTGCTTAAATGTTTAACTGGAGAAAGCGCATAAGGGAGAAAAAAAATTAAGTTATAGATTTAATTAACGGGGAATTCTGGTGAAATAGCAAGGCTTCCGCAGTAATGTCAGGGTGAATGATTATGTAGAGACATTAGGTATTTTTGAAAGCAGGCACGATGAAAAACTAGTAATCGCCTTCGCCGGGAATCGAACCACTGACTTCCGGAATACCGGCCCAGCGTACAGAACCACTATACCACGAAGGCACGCTGGAAAGGGGGGGGAGAAATATCCGATCCAGATCCTATGCGTGTTTGAGTGGTATACGGTCCTAAGAAAGGTTCCAAAGTGGGTGCGTATCCCTTAAAAAAGGGCAAGTGGCAGGCTTCAATGCCGCCAAGAAAGGAAGAAAAAATTACTTTTATCATCGTACTAGCAGTCGTTAAGGTAGCGCCATCTCTCGGTAGCCGTGGAAGATATTCTGGAAAGTCAGTTAGGTTTAGCTGAGCTTGTCCTGTGCCGCCATCTGCTGAGGGGAAC